TGAATCTGCATGTTTCCAGCACAGACTTGAACACGTTTGTCGAATGATTTGTGCAACAATCAGATTTTTATTTTACTTCCACAAAATGCCAATTCTGGATTAGATATGACAGAAACGAGGACGGCTTGCAATCAAATTTAAAAGCCAGTGCTTGTTAATGAAGCCGTCATTATTTAAGTCAGGTAGTCTTAGAAATTTTCCGAGGTGCGCGTTGCGGAAATCTTGGGCCGTGCGGAGACGCGGTGGAGGGGCGTGGTTGTTAAAATGATGCAAAATGACGCAACTTTTCCGCGCGGAGCCGTGCGGACCTCGCGGACGCGTCAAGCATACCGTAAATCCTCTAATACAGGCCCGGGCCTGTATTTGACTCAAGCTCATCAAGCTCCAGGCCTTTATTGGAAGGAGGGCCAGTATTAGAGACAGGCCTCTATTTTTATTTGAGCAAAATGAACTAATGGTTCGCTGGAGTTTTTGACAATTAAAATTGAGCCCACATTTTCAAAGTTAAACACATTTCTTTTAACAACGGTAGTTTCTGCTTCAGCCCTCTCCCCCCTCCCCCTGCTTCAGCCCTCTCCCCCCTCCCCCTGCTTCAGCCCTCTCCCCCCTCCCCCTGCTTCAGCCCTCTCCCCCCTCCCCCTGCGCAGCAGCAGCAAACTCACTGATGCGCCTGCAACCTCTCGGAGTTCCTGCTGCTCTAAACATTAAAATAATTATTTCATTTTCTGTTCCTCACTTCTGATTACCTTCAATGGTGTCTGTTTGTTGCAACCAGCAGGTACAAAAACTAACTTGTTTTTATTTGACTATTTTTCTGTCCTGCCTGTTTATTATCTTCCTGCATCTCCTCTCAATCCTAAAGAGAAACTGCTACCTGGGTTCATATATATTCACCTCATGAGTTACCTTTGAACTGCAGTTCTAAAAGATCTACCGACCGCTAAAACAGCGGAGTGCTCACTGCTTGTCGGCCGCATCAGTGAGGTGCGTCACCGGAGGACAAGGTGATGCGCCCCGCTCCACAGCAGCGAAACGCATCAGGTGCAAATAAAAGACATAAAACATTAAAGGAAATGAACCGACATGAACGATCGCGTGTTAAATAATTTTTTGAGGTGACGACACCTGATTGTTACTGTGGCCGTGCTCAGGAGGCAGATCTACCGACCACAAAAACAGCGGAGTGTTCGCTGCTTGGCCGCCACATCAGTGATCGGTGCGTCGGAGGACAAGGTGATGTGCCCCGCTCCACAGCAACGAAACACATCAGGCGCAAATAAAAGACAGAAAACATTAAAGGAAATGAACCGACATGAACGATCGCGTGTCAGTACCGACGCCCCCCCCCCCCCCCCCCCCGTAGGAGCGTGTCACCTGCTGACAGCAGGCTGCTGTCTTTTCTGTGGACTGCATCTTGCCGGTCATTATCACGTGACGGCGACTAGTCGATGACAGGCATAACAAGTCACTGAAGAGCGGTGAAGTCGACTAGTGACTAGTTCATACAACCCCTGCTACTGCTCCCCAGTGTTCTGCAGCATAATCAGCACGTTCTCTTTGAACTTGATATCAAATTTTCGCCTCCTCTTCGTCTCTGCACGGTTAAAGTTACCTTCGCGGTCTATCACTGGCAAATCAAAAGTGAGACGATGACACAACCGCCCCCCGTACTTGCTTGTACCACATTCCACCCGGCCACAATAAGAGACCGGCCATTATTCACCTCCGCCGACACCGGCCAAAATTGGAGACCCGGCAGTTAATTGAATACCGGCCTGTATTAGAGGATTTACGGTAAACCATGGACTCCCAAAGTGTGGTGCGAGGTGCCGCTAGGGGGTGCGCGAGGTGAAAAGTGTAATGGCTGCGGAGCTCAGAGAAGTCTGTCAAAAGTCACCATTAGCGTAGCCAGAAACTCATTTGTGGGTGGGCCTAAGAAAATGTAAGTGGGCCCAATAAACGTAATTGTAAACAAGTATATTGTGTGTGTGTGTGTGTGTGTGTGTGTGTGTGTGTGTGTGTGTGTGTGTGTGTGTGTGTGTAGGTGTGTGTGTGTCTCCTCCGCACATGCCCTAGCTCTGGGGTCGGCAACCCGCGGCTCTGGAGCCGAATGCGGCTCTTCCATCCATCTGATGTGGCTCTCTGTGCTTGTAAAATAATTAATGGATATTTAAATAAAATGCTTTATATTTTACTGCATTAATTTTACACCTGTAAGCTAATTCTAAATGTAAAGATTGTCTGCGTAAACCTGAACAGGTCCAACCCGGTCTTACTGTGAGACCGGGTTGACGCGTCACGCTTGTGTGTAGTCATAGGCGCTTTCTGAGCTGAAGACGTTGTGAGATTCTGGGATTCTCCTCAGACGGCTCCTGGATGTGTCGCCACATTGGAGACAGGAACAAGCACTATTCAGCCAAAGTTTCATCATCAGGGAACATTTTCTAAGTGACAAGTCTCTCTGAGAGACCGGGTTTGGAAAACACTCGCTTCAGTGGAAGGAATCTTCCTGCATGCGCTCTGGTTCTGCAACGTGCTCCAAGCCCCTCTCCACATCTTCAGCTCACTCTGCACCTTAAGTACGCGCTGAATGAGCAGTGTCCAGCTCAGATGTTCAGAAGGAAATCTTTTCTTGAGTGATTTAGCTACATCTGCGATTTGCAAAACGAATAAAGTGTCAGTTCGTCTGCATGCGTCGGGGTAATTCTTTCTATTCTTTCTCCGTCAAAAAAAAAAACGGCCAAGTACGGGAACTGTCCGGTCAACACAAGCCCTGCTTTTAACTGTTCTGTTTTCTTGTGAAAATAGATATAATTAAACGTGATTAACACCAGAGCCAGGCGCACTGCGCCGTTATCTCCGTCGCTGTAAACGAGGGAACAACAAAATGATCAGATCCTTTTCTGACCTTCCCCACCTACAAAGTTTAATTACAACAATCAAACGTGACAGAGCCTGGATTTGTATTCTGAACAGTCTAAACATGTTTTAAAAAGAAACGTGTGACAAAAGTGGCACCTGCTCAGTAAAACCACCAACAGGGTGAAAAATATCTAAATATTGTAGCAGAGACGGGCTACAACTTCTGGATCCATTTTATATAAATCATTTTATTGATTATCGTCTTATGAAAGATAACTTTGACGTACACGAGCGACCGGTACCGGCTGCTGTCACCTGTTGTGAGCAGCGCTCTGCTGTCTGAGGGTAGGCCCCGCCCACAACGCCGCAGCTGCTGCGGTGTTTTCTTTACTGTGGGAAACGGGTAATAATGGCTCTTTGATTGGAACAGGTTGCCGACCCCTGGTTTAGCGTGACGTCTGATATATATATATATATATATATATATATATATATATATATATATATATATATATATATATATATATATATATATATATAGCCATAACCTGATGTGGCTGGGGGTTGCGTCAAGATGGTCGGGACATAGAAGGGGGTGCGCGGCTAAATAAGTTTGGGAACCACTGCGGTAAACCAACCTTAAATGAGGCGGGGAGGCTCGCCAGCTGTTGCACACATGCGCAGTGGGCATCATTTTACAACAACAATCAGAACGGCTGCGTGCATGCACGCCTATTGGAATGATCGGACAAAACCACCTCTCTCAATCGGATCGATCAGGCCGAATCGGATCAGAACTTTCCGACTGACGTTCACTTGCAGCATTTTTGATCTGGTTGGGCGTCCAATCCCATTAATTGTGCGCATTTAAGGTGGCCACTGACCAGCTGCTCACATACTCTCCATGTTGAGCAGCACAAACCCAGAGAAGTCTCAGCGATCTGTAACTACAGTGAAATGTAGATTAAAATATTCACTGATCACATTTATAAGAAATATAATAACTACAAAAATACCTAAAATAATTTATGACAAATTATCATTTTTTTCAGACAATCATGATTACACGACGAGACAGACAAGTGACATAAGGTGCGCACTACCGCGCTGCAGAACTAATCAAAGGCAAAGAGCAGTTTATTACAGAGCCATGGTTGCATGGAATGCCATACCGAGATTTTTGTTATTAGAGAACAACAGAAGATGTTTTCAAAAGAAGTTAAAGCTTTTCTTGTTCACACAACATTGAATTTTGCACAGTGAATTGTAAATGTGACTGATATGACAGCTTCTATAATTTTTGTTTGTTATGGATGTGATGCGATATGATTTTTGATTCTTGAATATAGTTATTTATTGCTCTGTGTAAACTCTCCGTTTTCACCTATTTAGATTTTTCATGAACTCTGAAGTGTGTGGTAACTTATTGGTATATTATAGCAATTGAGGTGGTACGGTTATAATGAGCTCCTGGAGTTTGTTGTTGCTGGGTGTGTGTGTGGGGATGGGGATGGGGGTGTTTTGTTAAATATTTGTAATGAAATTGAAAGAGACATCAGGAAGAATAGCTCCACACTATGGTGTGAGCTAATGAGGTTCTCAATAAATAAATAAAAATAAAAATATTGGGTTTTTATGCACTTCTGCTCCGGACCATGAAAGGTGATAGTGGAGACGCAGCATTTTTATTCTGTAAACAAGGATTTAGCCTACTTTAAACAGGAACTGCAAAGGCTATAATGGAAATCCCCCTTATTGCCCCTCAGTGGAGAACGTCTGGCTCCCAGCAGCAAAAACATTACCGTACAGTAAAAGAAGAGTAAACATTCAAAGATGCTGAATAAATACACATTTTAAGGAGTAAAAAATAAGACATTGACCTGCTCGTGAGTAATTTGTTTTTTCCAGATTTTTGTGTTTATGCAAAGACAAACGTTAAGGTGCAACAATCTATATCTGCATTTACCGTCATGTTTTCAACACATACCGGGTTCGGACCCGAACTCTGGCACAGGCCGAACGGGCGCGAACTTTGAACATGTCGAATGATTCGGTTCTCCTTTTGAAAGAAATCTGGTTCGGTAGGTCGGTTTGGTACCGAGCAGCAGGCGGATTCACGTGTCCGGGTGCGTTCCTACCTTCCTCTGGATCTCCCACACGTTGATGAAGTTCTTGGAGAGTTGCGCCGACAGCAGAAAGTCTCCCCGGAGGACAGAGAGGCTCCGCGCGGAGGAGTTCCCTCCCCGGTAGGACAGGAGACTGGAGCCACTGTGCAGGTCGAACACGGTGCAGTTCCAGAGCTGCGAAGCCGAGTCGCTGCTAACAATCACTTCCAGAGGAGCCGCCATGTTGTCATTAGACCCAGGAACAAAAAGGCCACACCCAATATTTACTTCATTTCCGGAACTAGCCCCTCCCAGCCATAGACATGAATACGTAGACGTCTGTTTAGGAACTGGGGGGCATAACAACATGACCGCCATATTGGATGGGTCTCCACACCATAGGTATTTATCCTGGTTTTTGGCTACAAACGCGACGCGAGCACCCCTAAAGTTTGACATTCTAGGGGGAGGAGTTAAGATTGCGGGGTGAGCGGTAGCCCTTTTGCAGGCTCTAGTATTTAAAACGGAATTGTCCTTGACTTTCAACTTTAATAAACAACAAGATGAAAAAAAGAACTGCATGAACAACACCTGAGCCCCCCTAACCCTAACAAGACTAGAACAGACACAAGATTCTTATCTGAGGCCATGAGAATATCATTTGTAACTCTCACTAATGCAGTTTCAGTGCTGTGATACTCTCTAAAACCAGACTGAAATTCCTCAAACAGAGCATTAGTGTTTAAATGCTCACATACTTGGATGGCCACTATTTTCTACAGGACTTTGGATAAAAATGGAAGGTTAGATATTGGTCTATAATTCATTGGGTCATCTGGATCCAGAGAAGGCTTCTTAAGTGAAGGTTTGATTACAGCCACCTTAAAATCGTGTGGTACATACCCATTTACTAAGGATAGATTGATTATATCTAGAATGGGGGCAGTAACCAAAGAAAATGCATCTTTAAATAATTTGGTTGGGATTGGATCCAAAATGCAAGTTGAAGGTTTAGATGAAGCTAATGTTTTAGATAAATCTGAAAGCTCAACTGGATCAAAACGGTTCAAGCACAGATGAGGTTCTACAGTCACCTCTGATGCTGCTTCACTTACTGAGGAAGAAGAAATCGCTTTAGGGAGGATGCTAAAGATTTTGTTTCTAATAGAATTAATTTTACTTGTAAAAAAATCCCATGAAGTCATTGCTGCTGAGGGCTAAGGGAATAGATGGTTCATAATAATACTAATAACAATGCATTGAACTTATATAGCGCTTTTCAAGACACCCAAAGACACTTTTCACACACTCACATTCACATTCACACACTGCTAGTGATGGTAAGCTACTTGTAGCCACAGCTGCCCTGGGGAGGTCTGACAGAGGCGAGGCTGCCATTTGGTGCCGTCGGCCTCTCTGACCACCACTAACACAGATAAGTTGGGTGAAGTGTCTTGCCCAAGGACACAACAGCAGGATACCCCGGGCGGGAGCTGGAATCGAACCCATGACCCTCCGATCATGAGGCAACCCGCTCTACCACCTGAGCTACTGCTGCCCCAGGGTTATGATTCTGTGTAAGTTTCTGAGCAAAAACGCTATCAAAAGAGAAGGGCAAAATTATCTGTAGCCCATAACTGGCAAAATCAAAATGAAGGAAATCATAATAGAAATGACAAAAAGGAATCAGCTGTAATGAAATAATGCAGAAATGTATTTCTATGAATATATCTTTAAAGGAAGTAATAATATAAAGAAGAAGAAACACTAAAATTTAAATCAGTGACGTTAGTAATCAAACCTAAATGTAAATATACCCCATAAGGAATCAGAGATTAGTAAATCAAAATAAAAAAATGGAATTTGGATAAACACAACAGTTTGTGGAATACTCCCTTTAACTGTTAAGACTTAACCATTACAGCACTCCAGGAACCCACAGCATGACCATTTCAAGTCACCCAAGTCTGCACGTCATGTACAGACAGGAAGTATGCACACACACAAACACAAACAAACGGGTGTAACTCAAAACAGAGAACTATGGGATGGGCGAACCTGAACAATTGAGATCACCCCCCTTTTGAAGTTGAAGGCCTAACCGGAGGCACAGGAGGTGCAGGTGGAGGTAAAGGACCGGCCGGCGCAGTTGGAGGCACCTGGGCAGCCGGGGCTTCACAAACTACTGGTGTTGGGTATTTTTAAATCCTGAAACTTAACCCTGAAATTAACCATACACAGGAAGAAGTCAGTATGTTTTATGCTGTGAGGAAACAGCGGAGAGAGATAGGCCAGAAGCCTGTTCAAGGCCCCCGTCCGATCAACTCTGGCCTGTTCTTCCACCACAGATGGTTTTATTGAAACGCAGGCAAACAGAGACAAAGGAGATCATCACTGTCCACACTTTTTCCAATAAACACTGTTGCATCTATCTAAGGCGGGACTTTCTAAAAAGGAAGGCTTAACTTACAGGGTGGCTGCAAGCTTCCCTGTTGCCAAGCAGACCCTTCCCAAACCCCATGCATTCCACAGGTATGAGGAAAGGAGAAAGAACTCTGAGACTTTCTTATTAACATTTGATTACTTAAAGAGAATCATTTAAGACAGTAATACATCAAAATACCTGACAACTGGCACGAGAGCTCGAGATAGGCGGCCACCGACGTTGCGGTCCGAGTCCCCTAGAGAGGTCAACCATGCAGAGAAGTGACGGAACAGGAACAATGACAACTCCAAAGACAAACAAAGGTTTAGGCATGCTGACAACTCATACAGCATCCTGTTTACCGCACCAACCCGAACCATAGTCGGATCATTGAATGTCACACGATTCACCGTAGCTGGAGAAAGAGCAAAGGAGACGTTATCATAAAAAGGAGAAAACTCCACAACAGACCTATGCTCACCAGGATCCAAGTAATATCTAGAGACCCCACCTACGTAGACCACAGCACTACGTGGAACTGCCACCCATAGGGTTTGGGACGGAAGCACAACACGCGTGGACATGCCATGATGCTCATAGAAAACAACTGCTTCATGAGCAGGGGTATTAACCAACCAACGTCCACCAACAACAACAGCCGTAGTTTGACCAACATGTGAACGTGGAATTACAGTCATAGGACATTTAGAATCACCCGACAACTCATCTATGCCACACACACCAGTGGCACCGCCACACAGAAAAGGTGTGCCTGGACACAAGAAGTGTAGGCCACGTGTGAGTGAACACATGCGCAGATCCGGAACCTGCGATGCTGGTTTCCAACTCATATTCAGCATGGCTGCGTCAACAGGTTATGGGCCCAGTAAAGAACGATGTCGGCTTCAGAGTGCCACATCATAGTACGAGTCCAGTTGGTACCAGTATCCAAGAGGTCCAAAGGAACTCATACGTTTCCGAGCACAGGTTATTTCAGGGTCAAATTTGACAAACACCTTCTGTGTAACTGGATGAATGTTAGTAATCAACAGGGCTGGGCGCTCTTTAAGGGTGATCCCTGAAGGGGGTCCAGGGTCATAGAGTGATTGTAGAGAAGGCTTAGCCGCATCACCTATCGCAAAGACACATGCGACCAAGATCTCTGTCAGTCCAGAAATCTGGAATCCCGATCGATGAAGACTGGAGACTGAGGCAGCAGCAAACTGTGTAGGGTTCCCTGTTGGGATTGAATCCCAAGGGCTCTGCGCTGGGATGGACTCCAAAGGGCTTTCAGTTGGCGTGCGAGTGCAGCTGGAAAGAACTGGGTCAACCTGTAATGATGCAGTGTCAGGGTGACCCTCAACCCCCCTTTGGTAGGTGTAGAGCACACTACAGCACAAGGTGTCTCAGAGAGCACTGAGACAACACATACGCTAGGCCTGTGGATGTGGCTGACCAGCGAAACACCATAACGACTGGCCACATAGGCTTCACTGTTTCAGCTTCATGGGCAGTGGTCGAGTCAGCCAAGTCCAGAGCTTCAACCCAAACATTTCGATTATAGGCTCAAAGCGATTGTTAAGGTCTTTATTGTGGCGTTATGGATTGGCTACATATGTATTAAATAATCAATAAGATGTGATGTTCCATAAAAATATGAAATGTCAATCTAATTGGTATTTGAATGTTTAATCAGAAGATTTGAGTTTATTTTACTGATAATTCACACTTCACAGTAATTCAGACAGAGTCAAGAATATAGTTATATAAATGATTTTAATTCTATTTTCCTAAACTATATGATTGTACATCACAATGTATGAATGATAGTTGTATAGATAACAGATGTTGAATGGAATAATGGAATGTGAGCTAGATGTTTTAGCAAAACCTTTCTTATGTATCTGAGAGAGATTGGTGTCTGGGTGGAAAAATCAGTCTGTATGTTTGAAAAACTAAAGATTATTATTAAAAACCACACGACGCTATTTGTGCCGAGTCTACACACCCTTGTGTGGAGGTCCCCGGGCAATCCAGGGGCCCAGAGGTCAGGATGGACACAGCCGGTAGAGTGGACCTCTGGCAATGGAAGTCGTAGATAGCTCAGATACGACCAGTCTAGTCTGAGATACCTCCAGGTGACGGCAGAACGCTGGAATACTTGTTTTGCATCTGAGGCTGTTCAGTGGCTCTTAAAAGAGCTCTTGTGTCTGTAATCACTCGCAAGCGTTGCAGAGCAATGTTTTGACCTGAGGTCAAAAAGATGGCCTCAAACGCTTGCTTACTGGTTTGCCCAAACCAGGATGCAGCGGGAGAACCACTAGATCAGGAAGTGATTCCAGTATATATTAACCCTCTGGAGGCAGGTGTTGCAGATTTACAACATTAAAACCTACCTACCTGGTTACTCCACGTAAGTATTTCATGAGCATTTTTTAACTCAGAAGTTCCCCTGAAGGACTTAGTTGTTCGTCCTTTTATCAAAACTTATTTTGAGCCTGAGAGGGTTAAATATGGTTTACAAATTCTTGAGAAATCAGAATTTGACACGTTTAAAAGAAGTTACCAAAATACCTCAGAACTCATGTCTTCAGTCAGATACTCAGAGAGGTTAGCTCAGTGTGAAGCGCAAATGTTAGAACAGTTATGTGAAATAAAAATGTTAAACATTAATATTGATCTTACTATAATACTGACTAGGGCTGTCGCGGTAACCGCAAAAATGAAATATCGCAATATGAAGAAGCCCACCGCGCTGCATCATGCGCCACCGCGATTACTGAACTTGGTTCAACTCAATGATGCATGTTGAGAAGGATGGCTGCACTGGTATCAAAACGAAGCGTTACTTCGCTCCTTTGGGAGCACTTTGGTTTTCAGTACGTCAGCTGCTACGCAGCCAGAGTCCTTGGCCGAGACAGAGCTGCCACCAGCGGCAAAAAATAATAATAAAAGCTCGGAGACCTGCTGAAGTCCCGGACAAGCACTGCTTCTGCAACCGTCCCGAAGAGAGTTTGAGCCGAGCTGGAGCTCACTCGCTACCTGCAGGAGGAACGCATCCACCCTAAAGAACCCCCCCTGACATGGTGGAGCAACAACCGGGAGAGATTCCCTTTGCTCGCCAGTCGCACGCAGGTACGTGTGCGTTAGTGCAACAAGCGCACCATCCGAGAGGGTTTTCAGTGTTGCTGGAAATGTTGCCACCCCTCTCAGATCCTCTCTCAAACCGTATATGGTTAACATGCTGGTTTTCCTTGTAGGTAACACGGACGTGACCGAGCTATAAATCACCGTCATTCGTGTGTGTGAAAGTGAAATGATAGTGCCCCGCGCCCGGCACATGTAATTTTTTATGCTTGATTTTAAACAACTAAACAAAATGGGGACTTGTTTCTTATTTGTTAGATGCTGCAGCCAAATTTGCATTTAAAAGTTTAACCTTCTCCTGAATGTTGTTGTTTTTAAGTTCAGTCGGACTCCGACTGTCGGAGAAACAAACGTTACTGCGATCCGTGTTGTTACTGCCCTTTGATCTGCATTCAGTAAAGTGTTAGAAAAGAAGGCACGGCAATTTTTAACCTTTTTTAAATGTGTAAACATTATGTTTAGATAGTACTGCAATAAAAAAAGGGCTGCAATAATATCGCACACCGCAATATTAAGCCAACCTGAATCACCGCAGGAGGAATTCCTCAACCGCGACAGCCCTAATACTGACAGATGAACTTGTTAATACAACAAACACTGATCTGGTGTAGTTTCAGATCCGAAATGAATCACTGCAGGAAAAATATTCATTTTAACACATCATTGATTAATGCGCACATTATTCACACACTTTGGGATTTAACAAGAGATGATCATATGACGATTCAAGGAAGATGAACTTTATTCAGAGGGAAAGTGGAGACAGTCTCGTTTTCTGCATGACTTTTGTTTCAGCCAAGATAAGGTAGCTAGGAATTATTTCGTCTCCTTTATCCGATGACAAGGCCTTGTGCAGTGCTTCTTGTTTGGAGGCCAGATAGATGGGATGTTTGTGTCTGCAAATAAAAGTTTATTTCTGTTCGTTTTGATGAAACACTAAACCTTTGAGCACCTTACGTATTTGATACAATTCAGATCACCTTCAAAACTCCCTCACCCAGGGCTGTTTCAAGGCATTTGGGGGCCCAAGGTAAAATAGACTTTGAGCCCCCATCACCCACACCCTCACACACACATACACACACTCCGCCCTGCGAAGCATACAGTTTGTTGTTGCATTAATTTATTAAACAATAATTTTCCGAGAGGCCCTGGCCAGCCTTTTCATGCCCTGGGAACCCTGTAATTATCCCCCTAACCATGTAGTTCTTAACTTGATCCGTGCTAAGTGATTAGCATAGCATTCAGCCTTACACTACATCATACTGTTGCTTTAACCCTTGGATGCATAATGGTCACCACAGTGGACAGGTACTCAAAATTTTGTGTTTTTTTTTCTTTGCTATTAAGCACAGCTGTTGAAGACGTTATTGCATGTGAGCCCCTCCGTTTGGACTTCAGTAAGTCAAGCCAACATATTTCATGTTCAGAACGCACGCTGTCCACTGAGGTGAACATGTAATAAATTATTAGTAAATTAAATGTTACAAAAAATATGTAAATATGAAATTTGTTTAATTCACACCTAAAGATGAATGAAAAAATGGTTAGAAAATCATGGTTGAAGATTTCATACTTCATGCATCAAAGGGTTAACTCCTGCAAGTGCGCGGTATGAGGCTTGGCTTTCAGCTCAATTCTGTTTCAGCTCGTGCTAAATAAACAAACTGCACCACGAACCTGATTGCTGTGGCTGCTGTTTTCTCACAAGAAACTCATTATTCATTAGCCTTTCTGTGACTTTTCAAAATAAGTGAGAGGTTATCAGAGACGCGCTTTTATTGTGAAGCAGCAGCAAGAAGTATGTAGGGGGACTTCCTCAGATCCAAACACTTACATTTGATCAGAACTACAAAATAAACAAACAGAAACTGAAAAAAACACAAACTGCAAGTTTTAGTGTTTCAACAAACCTGAACTAACCCAGGACCACCAACAGAACCAGGAGTCAGGTTTGACCCAACCCATCTAAGCTTCCAATCAGAACCCAGCCTGCTCGGCTCTGATTTGCTGGAACTGGGTTCTTCCTGAACTGGGGTCTAACTGATTAAACTGGAAAAATGATTATTTATAGATCCTTAAATATAAATTCAGACTAACTGAAATAAATACAAACAAACCAAGAGGAAGACACCACTCCGCTGGAGTATGGCCCAGTTTAGTTCATTACAGTCCAGGTAAGTCCAGACCAGTCCCAGTGGATCTGGATCAGAACCTGATTTTGTAGTAAAGTGTTGGCATCAATCAGAGGATGAAGAGTAGTACGAGGACAACCAGGAGGATGCCAAGCAACACGCCAATAGCACACCACTGACGACGATCTGGAGACACACAAAGACAGTCTGTGATTGGTGCTCATTACCCATCACCCCCCTCACCTGGAACAGCTGTTGTCCAATTAGAGGAGGCTTTGATCATATCAGATAACACCTCAGACTGAGTCATGTGTTGCCATGTAGATTACCACTGGTCATATGAGACACTTTAGCCAGTTTCTTCATAACGTTGTCCAATCGGGACTGAGTGTTGTCCATCTCATGGCCGAAATCGTCCAGCATCCTGCAGGAGACACAACCCTTCAGCCAGAACCAGAACCCCCACACACACCAGCACACTCTCACTTTCATACACACACTCACATATACACACTGTACTCGGAGTGGGACCCGGAGAAACGATTATAGAACAAGTTTTTCAATAATCTCAGAACATGAACATTTAAGTGCATGAATGAATACAACTGAACTCATCTAGTAGGAAATATGAACCCCTAGAACAAGACAAAACTTTTGTATTTTATTTTTATTTTATTTTCCGATTAAACAGATTTTTCTTCTAACAATCTTGGCATTTTTTCTTACACAAAGTTAAACAAAGCAAGGTGTGTGTGTGTGTGTGTGTGTGTGTGTGTCCAACTACTGGTGTTTATACAGAAACAAAATATATCGGCAGGACTTTAGATCATGACCTGTCATTAATATTATCACGTATTCTTTACACCAATCAGACAATTCTGTAATGTTCACAGACATCCAAAACTTAGAAATGAAATAAAATCAGTATTAAAATGAAAATGATCATTATCTTCACTTCTTTTTTTACCGTGTCCTGTCTGGCTGTGAAGCAAACAGAACTGATGTCTGAATGCTGGTAACAAGCCTTACAGATTTACTCTCAGGTGGAGCATCAAAGCGTCTGCTTTGATGCTCCACCTGATACTTAAAACTTGATTGTTGTTGTTTTTGAATGCTTTCTAATTCCGACCAGACACGGAGTCAGAGGTGAAAGAGAAAGGAAAAGACAAAAGGTGGGGGGTCTACAAAATAAACAATAATGAACAAGAGTCTGCTTCTAGACCTGCAGAAAGAAAGAAGAAGAAAAAAAAGGGACTCAACAACAATACATCAGGATCAAGGTATCACCGCGTCAACTTAATGAAGAAATATAAAATCAACATTGTTTAACTGAACAATCACGATAATAAATCAGAGTGCATTTAGTGTCAACCACAGCCTTAAGACCTGTGTTGAACATGTCCAAGTCCATACTTATGAGAGCACCATGTGAGCACCTGTGTGTGTACACGCTCTTGTTTATGTAAGGTTTATCTATAGGAGCGTCCTATAGAGCTCCGGGAGTTGACGTCACTTCTCCCGGCATGCAACAGTTCAAATCGAAACGGCGCCATATTGGCAGGCAGAAGGCCGCAGCTGGACTATTTGTTATTGTCAGAAAACTCAATCAAACTGGAAATATGGTAGATTCCTGTTGTGCCCCAGGATGCAGAACAGACACGGACGACATAAGGAATGAGCCATCTACAGGATTCCCCAAGATCCAGAATGCCGCAAACGTTGGATCATTGTAATAAAACGAGCTAGTGACCGGGCTAAAATGAAGCTGTGGGACCCCGAGAGTAAAGGTTTTCACTTATGCAGCGACCGCTTCATATCAGGTACTTAAACCAACGTTTCCTCAACTGTGTATGGTATTTATTTTAAATGCTTTTATTACGATTCTTAGTGGGCTTCCTAAACTTATTTTGGCGGGGCTTTTTCTGTCTTATTACTCATAGCAACAAGTAAACATCACGTAAAACGTTGCCTCGTGAGTTCTGCGTGCTGCCGTTTACGTGTTTTATGATCACAGCAATTAACCGGCTAAGCTGTATTTAATTTTTAAGCAATGGTTAATCAATTGCCAGATCACACATAAAAAGCACTTTGGATTGCTATTATCTGTGTCACCGAGACAGATCTCAGACAGATCCTGAGACGCTCCTGCCTGACATATTTATTTTATTCACGGAAAAAAATCAGACTAGTGATTTCTCTTGGCGTTCAGTTTATACATTCAAACAGCACAGCACTCTATTTAAACTACTTACATGTAAATCTGTTATTTGTCCATCCATCCATTTTCATCCGCTTATCCGGAGTCGGGTTGCGGGGGCAGTAGCGTTGAGAGGCCCAGACTTCCCCCTCCCCAGCCACTTGGGCCAGCTCCTCCGGGGGAATCCCAAGGGGTTCCCCGGCCAGGTCCGGTAAGGAGTCCGCTCCGACAGCTTCTGGCGTTATTAAAAAGTATCCCAGGGGCACGGTAAGGGTCGGAGATGTTTAGTCTATTTAATTTCTGACTATATAAAACGATGTCTTCGGTTTTAAAGTGTGAAGTAAACTCAGACTAAGTAAAATCCAAGCCGATCCCGTTCACGTTCATGTTTACATCCGTGTTTGTTTAGCTTCTTTTACCTGCCAATAAGGCGTCTACTAACTGAGAGTCACGTGGGGTCCGGAGCTATATAGAGAGTGTGAGGGGGCAGATCGGAAATTGCTTAGCCAATCACCTGACCTGAATGGCATTACATTAATCTCCGAGAACAAAGTAAGGAACCTTGGTGTTATCTTTGACCAGGACATGTCATTCAAATCCCAGGTTAAACAGGTTTGTAGGATTTCCTTTTTCCACCTTCGGAATATTGCTAAGATTAGAAGCATCCTTTCCAGGAGTGATGCTGAAAAACTAGTTCATGCATTTATTACATCAAGACTGGATTACTGTAATCCATTACTCTCAGGAAGTCCACAGAATGTAGTTAAAAGTCTTCAGCTTGTCCAAAATGCTGCAGCTAGAGTTCTGATGAGAATTAAAAAGAGAGATCATATCTCTCCTGTCCTAGCTTCCCTACATTGGCTACCTGTTAAATTCAGAATAGATTTTAAGATTTACTGTTACGGACACTCCCCTTTCCAGCCACCAGATGGCCTCTGTGGCTCCAGCCTTGCCTGTCTCCTTCCTCCAGATACCCAGCTGTGTGTGTGATTTCCAATCAGAGCACAGCTGGTAAATGGATCTCACATGCACGGAGACGAGGAGAAGGTACAGGGAAGTGTGGACACGGAGGTGTTCTCACGACTCTCCTCTCCTCGCGTGCTCATATTTTGTTAGCTTCGTGAAAAACTTGACTTTGGATCGTACTTTTGACTTTGGCTTTGTCTGAGCGTCACTGCTTATCAGGACTGCTCCCGTTTTCTGTTGAGGATTTTAAGTGGACTATTTCTGTTAGTTTCCCAGCCCCTTTTCGGGCTGGCGCTTTCAGTTAGACCCTTTTGTACAGTGGGGCAAAAAAGTATTTAGTCAGCCACCGATTGTGCAAGTTCTCCCACTTAAAATGATGACAGAGGTCAGTAATTTACATCATAGGTACACGTCAACTGTGAGAGACAGAATGTGAAAAAAAAATCCATGAATTCACATGGCAGGATTTTTAAAGAATTAATTTGTAAATCAGGGTGGAAAATAAGTATTTGGTCACTTCAAACAAGGAAAATCTCTGGCTCTCACAGACCTGTAATGTCTTCTTTAAGGCTCCTCTCCTGTGGAACCAGCTCCCAGCTTTAGTCCGTGAGGCAGACACCTTGTCTAATTTTAAGAATAGGCTTAAAACATTTTTATTTGATAGGGCCTATGGTTAAAATCTGATGTTAGCCTAGATCAGGACAAGTGGGGGAGTAGAGGGAGGTGGAGTGTACAGTCGGTAAAGACGGCTCTCCCTTGCCCTGCCTCCAACATGCCTCCATTTAAATAGGATAGATTATCCAGAGTTATCTCTGTAGTTATGCTGCTATAGGCTTAGACTGCTGGAGGACACACTGACCACTTTCCACACTCTTCTACTTTCTTCTACAATCTGCTCTTTAACTGTATTATTTCCTGCTATTTCAGTTGTTAAAGAGCAAATTGCAGGTTGGAAACTCACATGGACCAATATTTAGAGAACATAATAGAAACTCGTTTTAAACAATATTTTTACAGAGATGTGACAGGGAGTGGGGAGTCCTGTTAGCTTAATCCAGAGAAAAATATGGATTCTAATGCGGCTCTGACACAGAGGAAACTTTAAATGGTTATAATTCTGCTTCTGATAGACCAGAACCATAAAGTTATGAGTTTGCTGCTCGCCCCAGAGAGCAGAGACAAACCAGAGGGAGAAACCATCGGCCAAAGCCGAGAGATTGTGCTGCCATGTGAGGAGGAGGAGGGCTCTGACGTAACCAAAGGGAGTTAGAAGCTAGGCTGCCTCAACTCAATGTGGAAAGTGGCTAGTTTTAGGGTAGAGAGGTCATGTTATCCAGTCAGTGTGTGTGTGTGTTTACTAGTGGTGGATTGTGTTCATGTTGATAAACTAGAGTGTGAAGGCTGTACCAACTCCAGCCTGTGTGGACATCGAGTCCACGGGTTTCCAGAAAAGAGAAACTACGCCTCTACCTCCGTGCCTGAGGGCGTTTCTGCAGCTGAAAGACAGACTTCTGTAGCCCACATCGGTCGGTACCGGGTCAGGGAGGTCCGCGCTGGGCTCTGGAGACCCATGGTGGAGTTTAAAAAAATCAATGTAGATTTCTGGAGCTTACATCACTGTCAGAACCAGGTCAGAACCGACCACCAGAAGAGATGTGCGGCTCAGCTGGTTTCCGGGTCGGAACCAATCAGAACCGCCGCCTGGACCACCAGCAGAGGATCATGCGCAGCTTTTAAAAATTCCAGCTGGACTAGCTTCCTGGTGTCTGGGTCGGATCCAGCTCACAGAAGCCCGCATGAGCTCCAGAACCTGATGACAGGCGTCTCTCTCCCTCTCTCTAAGCGTAAATTGATGCAACCTGCTGGGTTCCTTATATAAGAAACATTATTTCTGATTGGCTTAATGAACTGACCTGAATTGGAATGTTTACTATGTGAAGTGCCTTGAGACGACTCTAGTCGTGATTTGGCGCTTTATAAATAAACTTGAATTGAACTGGATTAAACTACGTTATGTGAACGGATATTAATGAGTATGAGACAGCTGACAGATGCTCATTAGTATTAATATTATATTAACTGAGCGATACTATTTTAACTGGCTGGTACACGATAGATACTAATTTGTACAATATTGTGATGTTAGCACATGAGTTTAACTCATTCGTCATTTGCATTTTTTTACTGTGTGGGCGTCGGACGAGCCCCCGCACCGTGTGAATAAACACCCCAGCTCTAAAGCCGATCTTCGTTCTCATACGTCACACATCATGTGATCAGGAAGCAGAACATCCGTGTGTTAGGAGATCGTTTTGGGCCGCTGCTGTAAAAAAGTGAGGCGCGAACTGGAAAAGCTTCTGCTGATCACAATTCAACAACGGATTATGAAAGAACGGATAACGCTCGAAACGTGCGGATTCTTCCTGATGTAAGAGGTGAGTCTCTGCTTTGTTTTGGCATTGACATCATCCTAGCGCTCAACGTTCTGTAACTCTTAAAACAAACATTAAAAACGCTGAAAAACGCTGGCAGCAAAGGGCTTTACCAATCAGGAAACAGCTGGCAGTGAATGAGTTAAGCTAACAGGGTTAACTCACAAGCTGCTTCTCCTCACATGGCAGCACAATCTCTCTGCTTTGGCAGATGGTTTCTCCCTCTGGTTTGTCTCTGCTCTCTGGGGTGTCCTGGTCCATCAGAAGTAGAATTATAAACATTTAAAGGTTCCTCTGTGTCAGAGCCGCATTAGAGTCCATATTTTTCTCTGGATTAAGCTAACAGGACTCCCTCAGCTGACGTCACTTGGTTTGGAAAAAAAAACGTTTTCTCACAAAAATGACTCTAAAAGCCTAAATACTTTGTTTGTGTAAAAAAAACGTTTAAAACGAGTTTTTATTGTGTTTCCCTAGACATTGCTTCATGGGAGTCTCTAACCTGCTGTTTGCTCTTTAAATTTAGTAACTTTTAACACCAGAGCAGGTGTGACATATTTTGAGAGTGATGATTAAATTATATCTAGAGGAGGCTCATATCCTATCATCCAAAATATTACCAGTAATTGTTTCTAGTCCAGAGAAAACAAAATCTATCATGTTAAGCTAAATTCATGATGGGCCATCATCTCATGCATTCTTTAGTCAGGATAACACTCCCTATTACACTCTCTATTTGTCCCTGACTGCTCTCCGTAGTTGTCTCCTGATTATACGGGGGTAGGGTTTGGCATAAACAAAGCTCCTGTGGGCAACCACGGTGAAAGGGCTAGCTAAAAAACACACAAATGTCTCCATATAATAAAAGTCACAACCCTAAATGACCCAGAGGTTCCTTGATCAAATACACTTAATGACCGCTTAGAGACGAAGCAAGCTAGTAGATAATGCTAGCAGCTATAGTCAAGTATGGTCTGCTTCTTCAAAGATTCATAATCGTCTATGTCCACATCTTAATGCATTGGTTGTTAGAATATTTTCCTCAGCTCTACCGAGCACCCCAGCTAAGAAAACCAGCAGACTGTCTTAAACTTGCTGTTGGGTCTGTGGGTCTGTCGTGTCAACAGAAGCAAACTAGCAAATAGCGTGACTCGGCTGGGAAAAAATGTGCCGAGAGACTAGAGGTGGGAAAAATTATCGATTCTAAGATGCATCGCGATTCAGCCGTGCATGATTCTGCATCGATGCAGCAACGTGACATAATGAGATTTTCTCCCTATGTCTATGTCGGGGGCCGGCAACCCGCGGCTCTTCCATCCATCTGATGCGGCTCTCTGTGCTTGTAAAATAATGAATGGATATTTAAATAAAATACTTTATATTTTACTGCATTAATTTTACATCTGTAAGCTAATTCTAAATGTAAAGATTGTCTGCGTAAACCTGAACAGGTCCAACCCGGTCTTACTGTGAGACCGGGTTGACGCGTCACGCTTGTGCGTAATCATAGGCGCTTCCTGAGCTGACGAGGATGTGAGATTCTGGGCTTCTCCTCAGACGGCTCCTGGATGTGTCGCCACATTGGAGACAGGAACAAGCGCTATTCAGCCAAAGTTTCATCATCAGGGAACATTTTCTAAGTGACAAGTCTCGCTTCAGTCGGAGGAATCTTCCCGCATGCGCTCTGGTTCTGCGACGCGCTCCAAGCCCCTCTCCACATCTTCAGCTCGCTGTGTACCTTATGTTGTACACGCTGACAGCGAGCTGCGCTGAGCAGTGTCCAGCTCAGATGTTCAGATGGGAATCATTTCTTGAGTGATTTAGCTACATCTGCGATGTGCGTAGAATAAAGTGTCAGTTCATCTGCATGCGTCGGGGTAATTCTTTCTATTCTTTCTCCGTCAAAATAAACGGTCAAATACGGGAACTGTCCGGTCAACACAACACAATCAGAATCAGAATGAATTTTATTGCCAGTGCTCCAGATCAGAGCATAGGAACTTGACTCCATAGTACAACCTGACCAAGGTTACACACACACATATAGACAGGACAGATACAGGCAGACCATGGGAGCAGCCATGACGGCGCTCCTTTGTAGAAGAATGAGGGAATACATGAGGAAAGTTCAGGGGAGGGAGAAAAAAGGCATTAACAGGGTTACACCAGCAGGGTGCAGCACTCTAATGCAAAAAAAAAACACCTGACATGTAAGCACGAACGTCACAGTTCACAACATGAGACCCGGTAGGTAGGGGGGAGGGGCTGGGACCCTGGTTTCCTCAGCGGGGGCTGCCTGTGGCGCTCAACCAGCTGGCTCCGCAGGTGGGAGGGAGGTCATGGGGAAGCACAGAGAGCAGTGAGTCCTTTAGCTTAATGACCTCGGTAGAGACCACAATCTGAAGGCGGGGGGGTGGGGGGTGGATAGAGTTTCACAGCATTTGTCTGCATTCCTTCCATTGTGGGGGTTTTTGCACGCAACTCCAAGGCTGCTTTTGGCGTCAGATTCAATAACAGAACTTTGTTTGGGTCAGGACGAGATAATTTTCCCTCTCTGCCTTAAGTCTGTATTGATCATTCAAGTCCTCCAGTGAAGCCAATTCAGTGATTAAACATCTCCACACCGTCCGGTGACCCTTTCCGAGATGTTATCAATCCTGCGCGCTAACACCGGTAACGCAGCTAAGACATTGTCCAGCTTGCGATTCACCTCGAGCAACGTCCCAGTCTGTGAGGTATCCACACGGACGGTGCTGTCCATGGTTGCGGGTCGCCCTCCAATCGCTCCCGTCATCCCAATTTTACGGAAAGCCAGATATCCTCCCACTCCTATCAGAAGAAATCCAACGATCATCAGGCCAAATATCCACATATCTTCGACGTCCTCAATGGACAGCTGAGAGAGACAGATGATATTCCACTTCTTCCAGGAATCGAACATATATCCCGCTGCATGTGTCCCCTGAGGACAGGCGCGAGCCCCCTCCTCCGTCCCCATTGTAGAAAAAATCTTATCAATCGCGTTGAATGACCAATTAATTAAGTCCATGCTGAAAAATGGTGATTGCAGAGGAAATGCAGAGAAGCGCTCTGTAGGCAGACGGGACAAAAAGAGCCTTGGGGAAAATACAGATAAGGGAGGAAAAGGCAGAAGCGACTGCTCCCTGTGAGTGCCAGAAGAAGAAGAAGAAAAAAAAAACAGATATGCAACAGACTTCAGACAACACAACATAAGTGTCTACTAGGTGGGGTGGTGGGTTGGGACTATCCCCACTCCAACTCCTGCAGCCACGATAGAAGCAGCACATGTCACCTCAGTGTGGATAGGGGGAGGAGCATTGAGGGTTGGAGTGACCCTGGAACAATTCAGCGGCCTTCCCACTGTGTTGAGTTGCCATAGCGACGGCACATTCCACTTATCTTCTGAGGGGGGAGTTTTTGTTGTAGCCTTGCAGGCTCAAGGATGCCAGATTCCGATTAGAAATTGTTTTGGGGCCAGACAGAGATAATTTCCTCTCTGTCTTAAAGTTTGATGGTCCTCAACCTCTCAAAATCCCAATAATGGACATTAATCTATCCCAATCCATGCTGATTCGTCCACTCTCTCCTTGATATCATCCATCTTTTGAGCCAAAGAATGAATGTCGGCCAAAGTCCCAAGCTTACAATTCATCTTGACAATTATTTGAGTCTGTGAATTCACAGCGCGGTACAAACCATCTCTGAGCTCCGGGATCCGGCCAATATTCCTCGACAGCTCATTAATTTTCCGGTAAGCCAGGTAGCCTCCAATGCCGACCAGCAGGAAACCCGACACCAACACCACGAATATCCACACGTCTTCAGAGTCCTCCACAGACAGCTGGTCTGTCCCGGAGGGGCATCCGGGAGCCCCTTTCCCCGTTCTCATCGTTGAAAAAGTTTTAGCAACCGCGTGGAGAGACCAACTGACGAGATCCATTTTAGTGAATTTCAGTTTCCAGTTTCCAGAAAAAATGCAGAAGCAGCCGTGCACCCAGCACACACAGACAGACAAAGGCCTTGAGGATAAGATATGGAGGAGAGGAGAAGAAAAGCGTCTGCACCCTCCTAGAGCCGGAAGAAGAAACTTCGGATACGAAGGTAACCATGTAGAATTATACTAGTTGAGCAACTGGAAATGTGCATGACTTTTATTTTGAAAGTTTCTGGACATTTTAAACAGCTTTTGTGTTTGACTTCCTGGCTGCCTTGATTTGAACTGCTATGCTTGATGTGTTCTGGAAGTGTCGCTACAGTGTAGCTCATCACCACCAGTGTGTGAATGTGCGTGCAGGAACGACTGGATTTGCTGTAAAGTGCCTTGGGCGTTGTAAAACTCTAGAAAGCGTCATACAAATGCAAGTCATTTACCATTTCTGCTAAAATTGGAACACTACGGCCTGTTTTAGTAGAAAAACATTCATTCGAACCGATTTAGTCACTGTCTTGTAGGCGATATAAGAGACATCCAGGCTGACTGTACTTTGAACTACGGGAGCCCAACAGAGGGAAAAATCCATATTTTCCTAAATTAGATCTTCACAAATGGAAAATTCAAATTAATCAATAAAATTGATTTACCTCCCAGCTTTAATACACACATAGAAATGAATGCATGGATCTGAAAGATCTCTGGAAACCAGTACTGCTGGTCCAACCAAGATAGTGTTTGGATTCTTACACAGTCTGCTCATCCAGCTCCATGCCAATTCGCTCTGACATGTTCCTCAGTACCCCGATGGTTCCGGACACCAGTTCCAGTTGTTCATCCTGCTGTTCTGCAATCAGCTGGAAAACACAGACTGCTGTGAAACTTGTTCTATCCAAAGACTGGGTCTTGGTGCTGTTCAGGTTTTCTCCTACCTGCTGCTGCACCTGCTGCTCCTCAATGAACTGAGAGTTGGCGTTCTGCAGCTGATGGTCCAATCGGCCATACTTATCAGAACTAGACTGCCGGATGGGGCCCTGGGCTCCACACTCCCTGAGCAGAACCTCAACAGGAAAAGTCAAAACATAGAGAAAAGCTCCCCAATCATCATCATCTTCATCCTGTGAATCATCTGACTCATGGGCACAAGTGCAATAAGAGGAGTTGAGAGTAAACAGCTACCTGTTTGTTCTGTCTGTCAGCCGGGTTTGGGTTTGGGTTAGCAGCTGGGCTCAACATCTGCTCTTTCATGTCCTGCAAAACAAGGAGACCATTTGACTTTAGGCCCAGAACCCCAACCCTGGACCAGCTCTGGTTTTGGACTTACCTTGACCGAGAGCCTTGTACTGGTGATGAAGGCCCTCCTCCTCATTAGCTCTGCTGCATCTAGGTGGAACTTCTTAGGGTTGGACACCACGATGCGTTCACATGTAGTTAGAAAATGTTTTATTTTTGTTTCAGTAAAACACCTAAATGACCACCATGTGGTCACATGACAACCCTATTCATGTGACCATGTTGTTAGTTCCTTTCTTTAGCTATATTCTGATTTTGTGTTGATGGAGCGAATGGTTACTATGGTTACTGACTAGCTTCCTGTTGGGACCAATAAAAGTTATGAGACCAATTCAAAGGGGAAGGATATTGATGGTCTCGTCAAGGTCCTCCAGATCCCACTCAATGGATCGCAAGCTGTTCCTCAGCTCATTGGTTGTCCAGTCCATTTCTTCTTTGGAGGCTCTGCCCCCTTCCTGCTTCAGGTTGCTCCATCTGTGATGGAGGTTCTGAGCTACATGCACTGCCTTCTCTACCTCCCTGCAAAAAAGAGAACATGGAGAACTCTGTGAGGTGAATCTACTTTTGATGACCACACAGACAAGTCCAGAATCAGGGACGAAAGGTCCAGGATCCTCTGGAGGTTTCCTCTCCACTGTCGCTGCATGCTTGCTTCTTATGAGGATTGCTGTAAAGTTCCTAACACAAGTCAGTGACTCGATGACATACGTCACTAAGCAGACTCCGAATGCGGGCCTCTTTTTCCCATCTTCCATCTAAACAGCTGAGCAGTCTGTTAGACATTCATCCTTCTCATCCTCTTTAGTGCATAAAAAATTGTAAGTTTTGTCCTTCTAATATTCGTCCTCTTCATGCTGCGCTCATCTCCTCCTCTCGCCCTCTCCCCTCTCAGCGGGAGAGTTTTCAAACTACAAACTCCAAAGCTTCCAATGTCAACACACCCATAAATGTTGCTCAGCCTGAAGTAACACATCTACACTTGCTTCTGGTGTAAAGTAGTAACTTCATGAGGGATCATATTTGTAGCTGTGGCTCGCTTAAGTGTTAATAACATTGTTCAGGCTGTTGACAGCTCTCATATACATTTATATGCAGATGACACCACTTTATATGCATGAGTTCTTTCTTGCAGCACAACTTTGTCTTCAACATGCCTTCTCCACTCTTCATCTTCATTTAAACACAAGTTGATCTTCAACCCTAACTTACCACAATCAACTTTCCGCCCTAGTATTGTTACTAGTATTAGTAAGTATTGTTGTGAAATAGTGGCTGAAACAGCTTTTAGAAAAAAACATTCTCAGTGAAACAAGCATGAGAAATGAGTCTGCTTCAGCCGGAGAGGGGAAAGCTGATGTAAACTGGTCAGTAGGAAGCGGCAGAGACTCTGACAGCAACGCAGGAGACAATCTGGGACCCCTCGCCCCCACCCACGGAGAAGATCCGTGTCGGTCACCCAGAGAACAATAGGCTTATTTTCAAGGTTTGGATTAAATTTTTATTTTCTTACCATTTTATTAGGTTCACACATCCATAAAGAGATAATTAATAACACATTAGAACCACCGTTTTGCTCCACGTCATCGTCAGCCAGCATTTAATGGCAAAAATGACAGCCGTCAATGGTTTCTACACCGCAATAGGTCATCCTTGACTCATTCTGCAAAGAAAACCTTAGTTAAAATGACAATCCGGTGACGTCATTTATAGGACTGCTTCCAAAATACTTCTTAATAAACTCAATGTCTTTTATCACTCAGCAACCTGTTTGGTCACTGGTGACAGAATGGGACTCAGCTTAGCAACGTTCCTGAGATGGAAGAAGGAAGAGCCAACAAGAGAACTGACATGAGAATCCAGGGTGAGAGCTGGGTCAAAGGTCACGCCAAGATTCCTGACAGAAGGTTTGGTGTGGGAAGCAAGCTGACCAAGAGAGTCTCTGACTTTGGGAACCAGCTTGTCTGGGGCACAGATGAGGATCTCAGTCTTATCTTCATTCAGCTGAAGAAAGCTCCCACCATCCAGGTTCTGATAGAGTCTAAGCAGGTGTGTAACAGCTGCAGCTTAGACATCTCATGGGGCTTAAAGGAGATGTACAGTTGGATGTCATCTGCATAAAGAAGCCGTTGTAGCATATAATTGACGAACACTTTTAAATTTCAGTACAACTTAGACTAGATTAGTTTGCCAACCCGTATATAAAAAGTCAAATGTTGTTCCATAAAATATTTATGAACTATAAATATCAGCTAGGAAGGAGGGAACGAGACAACACCAATTTAACATCTGTTGTTGAGCCTTTTATAATTTTGTTTTTTTATTTTCAAATTTTTAGCTGCAGACCATAATCTCCTTTCACTTGAAATGTCGTCAAGTAGAATACTCGATTAATCGATGGAAGATTCGATAAAATACTGGAATACTGAAATATTCGATAGCTGCAGCCCTGGTGCAGGAACTGATCTGGTTCTGACAGGACAGATGTTGTCCAGGATGGAGAGGCAGTACTCATTAAACTGAGAAGTTGAGGAATCTGGGTCATTATCAGAAGAACAGGGTGGATCAAAAGCAGCAGAACATTTGCTGGCTGTTCCACCACATCCCAAAGGTGCTCTAGTGCCAAGTGTGTAAAAAAATATCCTGCACACCATTACACTACCACCACCAGCCTGAACCGCTAATACAAGGCAGGATGCATCCATCCCTACCATCCGAGTGTTGCAGCAGAAATCAAGACTGATCAGACCAAACAACATTTTTCCAGTCTTCTATTGTCCAGTTGTGGTGAGCCTGTGTGAAATGTAGCCTCAGTTTCCTGTCTTTAGCTGACAGGAGTGTGACCCGGTGTGGTCTTCTGCTGCTGTAGCCCATCTGCCTCAAGGTTCCACGTGTAGTGCATTCAGATATGCTCTTCTGCATACCTTTTTTTAATTTGTTCATTTCAGGCACAACAAAATACATATATAAAACATAAAGTGCTGGTTGTACCCAGTGGTTATTTGAGTTCCTGTTGCCTTTCTATCAGCTCGAACCAGTCTGGCCATTCTCCTCTGACCTCTGACCTCAACAAGGCCTTTTCACCCACCGACCTGCTGCCCGCAGGGTGTTTTCCCTTTTTCAGACCATTCTCTGTAAACCCACTGTGTGTGTGTGTGTATATATATATATATATATATATATATATATATATATATATATATATATATATATATATATATATATATATATATATATACGATATATATATATATATATATAGTATTTATATATCGTATTTATATATATATATATAATACCATATATAGATAGAAATAGATATAGTATTTATATATATATAGTATTTATATATCGTATTTATATATATATATAATACCATATATAGATAGATATAGATATAGTATTTATATATATTGTGTATATATATCTCATTTCAAGATCCTGGTTCACCCCCAGCAGGTCCCTGAGGTCCAGTGACCACAGCCTACTGGTTGTGCAGCACCAGGCTAAAGGTCAAAGGTGACAGATCATTTGCTGCTGTGGCCCCCAGACTCTGGACCTCTCTCCCCCTGAGCCTGAGATCAGTGGACTCAGTGGTCTCCTTTAAACTCACCTGTTCAGGATTTGGAGTGACCTCCATCACCTCTCTCTCCTTATTATGTTCTTTCTACTTGTTCCACCTTTCCCAGGAAGAAGAAGAAGAAGAAAATATCATTTCTATAGCGCCTCTCAAGATAAAAATCATGAGGCGCTTCACAAAAACAAAAAAAAAATGTAAAAATATAAAAAACAATTTAGAAAATGATTAAAAATATATTTAAAATGAGCAAAAATAGACAATTGTGATTAAAATGTTAAGAAAGAGAGAGAGTGAACAGGAAAGAGGGAAACCAGTGGATCCTGAGGAAGGTGGAATAGGTGGGGAGAGCAGAATAAAGAGAGAGAGGTGAAGAAGGTCATACAAAAGCCAGCTTGAACAAGTGAGTCTTCAGCTGCTTTTTAAAGGAGACCACTGAGTCCACTGATCTCAGGCTCAGGGGGAGAGAGGTCCAGAGTCTGGGGGCCACAGCAGCAGATGATCTGTCACCTTTGACCTTTAGCCTGGTGCTGCACAACCAGTAGGCTTTGATCACTGGACCTCAGGGACCTGCTGGGGGTGTAGGGACTAAGAAGATCACCAATGTAAGATGGTGCTTGTCCATGTAAGGCCCTATAGACCAGAACCAGGATCTTGAAATGAACCCTGAAGTTGACTGGCAGCCAGTGAAGCTGGAGGAGAAGCGGGGTGATGTGGGTGTGTTTGGAGGACTTGGTCAGAAGCCGAGCACAGGCGTTCTGAACCACCTGTAGACGGTTCAGGGAGGTTCTGCTCAGACACGTGAAAAGAGAGTTACAGTAGTCTAAGCGTGAGGAGATGAAGGTGTGGAGAACTGTCTCAAGTTCAGAGCGGGACAGAATGGGACTCAGCTTAGCAACGTTCCTGAGATGGAAGAAGGAAGAGCCAACAAGAGAACTGACATGAGAATCCAGGATGAGAGCTGGGTCAAAGGATCCACTGTTTTCCCTCTTTCCTGTTCATTTTCTCTCTCCATTTCCTAGCATTATTTTTCATCACCATTTTTCTCTCTCTCATTTTGAACATATTTTTAATCATCTCTGAAATCTTTTTTATGCCTTAATTCATTTTTTATTGGTGAAGTGCCTCGTAATTTTTATTTTGAGAGGTGCTTTTATAAAAGATTGTTTTCTTTCACTACATGTATTTCAGAAACCGCTGATCTGAGAGTGTCACACACAACCATCTCCAGGGTTTACAGAGAATGGTCTGAAAAAGGGAAAACACCCAGTGGGCAGCAGGTCTGTGGGTGAAAAGACATTTGAATACCATTCACTCATGATTTTTAAGCGAAAAACAACAAAGGCCTACCCCGCGTTGACCGTACTACATACTGTATACGCGCAGGGGAATTCTGATCGAGGGCTGGACAGACCAGCCAGAACGGAACCAGCCTTCTAGAGCTAACAGCTGCTGCCCACGGCACCGGAAAATAGTCGTGGCTCGAGCTTTATGCGGATGCTAGCTTTAGTTTAGTGCAGATAACCAATGCTTCTGACCCTTTAACGACGAAGAATGGATCTTCCATGGACATCTTTCCGCTTCGCGTTCAGTCCACTAACCAGATTCTTCAGTCTGGCTCTGCTGCGAGGGCTTTGTTCCGATTACAGCCCGGTTCTGGTCATCGCCTCGTCTCTCTGTGCTTTGTTTACATGTAGCAATGAAGCGTCAATTGGAATCGTAGCATGTTCAAGGAAGATCCCGTCTTTCTCGCCTTTGATTGGCTGCAAGGGCTCTCCGAAAGGCTGCAGACCCGGACCGCGTTATCACTTTACACCACAGACTGCACTAAGCGGTGGAAGACGGTTTGCTGCTAAATGGAAATAGCCAATCGTAGTAGAGACGTTCTAGCCAATCAGAGGCGAGAAAGGCAGGAACTTCCTGGGACATCCTACGATTCCAAATCACGTTAGCGGCAACCATTCCGTCACATCCGTGCAGGAAGTAAGTTTTATTTTTCAAAACTTTATTGAAAAATTAACAATTATAAAACAAAAACTCCATATTTAAACATAACTTAAAATAACAACACTATATAATCAAAAACACAACAAAGTATCTGTTAAAATATTCTTAAACCACTTTTATTTTAGTTTTCAATTTTGGCATTTTAAGTTACTGTTGGTAATAGAGATACAATACTCATTCAGATCAGGTTCTTTGAAATTATTAAATCATGGGGATTTTGTATGTAAATATTTAGCTAATATAATATTAAAAGTACATCTATTATATATACTTCATCAGTGGAAAAAATTAGCTGTAGAAACTTAGCCTAGCGAACTAGACCAAATTCTTGCTTTGCAAATAAATAATACATTTATTTAGTCTGGCTTGCCAGGCTAGTAGAAACTGTCATGTATTGGGAACGTGATGACGTAACGCAGGGGTGTCAAACTCAAACTCACACGGGGCCGAAATGAAACTCTGGGACGGAGTCAAGGGCCAAACTTAATATTTTTGAAAAAGTGATGGCAAATTTGCACATTTTCTTTATCAACATATATGCAATTTTGAACCTTTAAATTTGGAAACAAACATATTTCTGCATTAACACTGAATGTGGAATAACCAAATTACACACGAGCAAGTCGGTTTTAAATAAAAGGCATCAGTGGTATTCATTACTTGTGGTATAATCAGCATTTTTAAAATCTTTTCAGGATTTATGTTTTCTTGTTTATTCATTTTTCTTATTTTTTATTCTCCTTTTTTTCTCCTGTAATACGTGTCATCGCTGCTGTGACGTCTAGCTTTTCCCACTGAGGAACAATAAAGAGATTTTCTATTCTATTCATCTATCTGCAGCCTTTCCACTTCCTGTTTACTGTAGGTTAAATCTTTGCTCACGGGCAGGGCCGGCGTTAGGCCCGGCTACTTGGGCTGAAGCCCTGGATGTTTCATGATAAGCCCCGGATCTAAATCGTGGAAGTAACATGCAGTACCAAAGTCCAACAGAGAGGGAGCAGCTGGCAGTAGTTTGTATACAGCCTGCCTGAGCCTCCACCACTGAAGAAGAAGCCCTTCAGCAGCCGGCTTCTTCTACACTCTCTGCCTGAAACGCATGAGTGAAGATGGACATAAGGACGTTTTTAGACCAAAAGTACGGCGACAGAACCCCAGCTTTGATGAGACTGGTGTTGACTCAGGTTTGTGAGTCTTATTAGAAAATATTTGTTGTGCTGCTGGTTTGCCTAAAGTTAGCTTACTATCAGGTAAAGTTGTTGGAGAAAGAACGGGAATATTTACTATCATCTCACACTAAACACTAACAGGAACAATACTCTGCCCTGAAAATGCTTAATATGTAGCTTCAGATTAAAAATTATGTGGTACAAGACAAATATATATGATGTTGACTAGTGCGTGTCATGTGTGTGTGTGTGCACGCGTGCATGTGTGCGTTAAGCCCCGGATCTTCTTCAGTCCTAAATCCGCCCCTGCTCACGGGCCAACAACAAAATACAAATATCATTTAATCTTAAATGAAAATGCAACATCTCACCTGTTAACTTTCATGTTTTGGAGCAGAAAAAGAGCATAAAACCAACATATTTAAAGCTCAGTTTGCTCCACTGGTTTACTGTGATGCTCACCTGTTCCAGCCAGATACCTGCATCATGGGGTTGGTCTGAGCTGAGGAGGAGACTCCTGTTGTTTTGCTCATCTTCATCATAATAATGACAACATTAGATGACAACAGGTGCTCACATAGGTTTGTGCTGATGAACATGTCTGAGCAGCTTGAGCACGTTGTTGTGTGTCGGGGAGGAAACACGACCACAGAGTCGTGCTGGTTTGAGCGTGTCGCTGCTCGCTGGAGTTATATCGGCTCTGTCTGGACGTTAGTTGGAAAACTTCTCTTTCAGTCGTGAACACATTACTGAGCGGCTAGAATCTCCGTTTCTGGGCTTCAACGTCAGAAAACAGCTGAGTGAACTCGGCGCTGAGTGAGAGGAGTGTTTAGTTTGTCCGAGACAGCAGAGCTGCTGACACCGGCAGCAGGCGCTGGAAAAAACACAAAGGAGGGGGCGCGTCGGCTGCGCGCTGACGCCGCAAAGCATCATGGAAGTTGTAGTCTTTGCGGTAAAATCGGCCAGCGGGCCAGTTTTAATATATTTTTGATATTTATCTCGCGGGCCACATAAGAATGCTCCGCGGGCCTCATCTGGGGGGTGGGGTGGGGTGGGGGTGGGGGTTTGTTGCCTGTCTCCAGCAGTCAATGGGCAATCAGACGGGGTACACCCTTTACAGAGAGCCAGGCAACACAGAGACACTCACACATGCACAGGGAGAACATGCAAACCACGCAAAAAGATCCCAGGCTGGGAAGCGAACCCAGGACCTTCTCGCTGCAAGGAAACAGCTCTAACCACTGTGCCACTGAGCAGCCCCAATTCAGAATGTCCTATCTCATTAATAAAGTAAGATCGACACACACAACAATGGTGACGAGGATGACGGAGACGAGTGTTTGAAAACAGGACTTTTTTTTTTAAGTGGCGGAGTTGGACGCGAAAGTTGCGTTCACGATGGAGAAGACGGGGATCCAGCCATTTGCATGCTACACAGAACCTGCTACTCTCGGATCAAGATGGACGCGATAGCTGACGTTGTTCGAGTTGTATGCAGACGAGAAAGGTCTTATCATCGCCGACGGGACGTCTGATGTGATGGCGCAGCGGAGACGCGCTCTTTTACTGCACCTGGCCGGACAGGACGTTCATATTAAAACAACTCCAAAATGGGCTCAAGCTAATGGAGAAGTGGAATGGCAAAATGCATTGCTGATGAAGAGGATCAGGATTGCTCAGGCCGAAGGACTTGAGTGGCAGAAGGAATTGAGAAGATGTGTGGCAGTGTACAGAGGACTCGAACATCCTACCACCGGGAAAAGTCCAGCGGAACTCCTGTTTAACCGGAAAATAAGAGGAAAGTTACCAGAACTGTGTGGGTCGAGCACAACAGCGTTGGACGTTCGTGACAGAGCCGCAGAACAAAAGGGTCAGTTAAAGCTGTACGCAGATGAGCGAAGAGCAGCACTGTATTCAAAAGTGGATGTTGGAGAGACGGTACTGATGAAACAGGACAAGATGGACAAGTTTAAATGATAAATGACCCGCACTTGTATAGCGCCTCTCAGAGTAAGGACTCCAAAGCACTTTACACTACAGTGTATCATTCATCCATTCACACACTGTCTATGGTCACATCACACACTGGTGGGGATGAGTTACGATGCAGCCACAGCTGCCCTGAGGCGCACTGACAGAGGTGAGGCAGCCGAGCACTGGCACCACCGGTCCCTCCAACCACCACCAGCAGGCAAGGTGGGTTAAGTGTCTTGCCCAAGGACACAACAGCAGAATTCTCTGTCCAGAGCTGGGATCGAACCTGCAACCTTCCGATTACTGGACAACCCGCTCTACCTGTTTATGTTTATTTATTTGGCAGACGCTTTTATCCAAAGCGATTTACAATCTATAACCTATAGGGCATGTTGTGATCTGTGGAGGAAACCAGAGTACCCGGAGGAAACCCACGCATGCATGGGGAGAACACGCAACTCCAGGCAAAAAGGCTGCAGCCGAGTTTAGAACCTGCAACCTTCGTGCTGCTAGGCAACAGTGCTAACAACTGCGCCACCATGCAGCCCATAAACATAGCACCACATAAAGTTGTAAGTAAATGTGACAATCAGGTTGTTGTTGAATCCCCAGCTGGAGTACGTTATCGCCGGAATACTTCACATGTGAAAAAGTTTGAAACACAGACGACCGAACAGGGGCAGAGTGGACAAGAAGAGATAATTAAACCATGGACATTAAAAGTTAAAGTCCCATTAGTTGTCACACACACTGATGTGTGTGCGAAATTTGTTCTCCGCATTTGACCCATCCCCTGGGGGAGCGGTGAGCTGCAGACACAGCCGCGTTCTGGAACCATTTGGTGGTTTAAACATTGAGACTGAAACACCACAAGAGGGCGCACCAGGTCTGGAAATGACCCAAGAGACTACAACTCCTCGCTCAGGTGGACGCATGCCTCTCCCACCTCCTGCACCTCATTGAAAATGGGGGCAGCACTGACCCAAAGGATTGTGTAATTGTTGTTTAGTTTCATCGATGTAAACATCCAGCAATGGTCAGTTTAGGTACTGTTTGACCTTTCACCATCTATTCAACATCTGGTCAGAAAGGACACACAACATTGCATGTGTTCCCTTTAAAAGTTCTGCCTTCACACCAGCTTGGATTCAGACTCTGCAAGTCTGAATCATAAACAATAACTTTCTTTCCCCAAGGTCATCTGTCTGCCTCCAGAAGACAGAAGATCCAGCTCGAATCAGTTGCTAAATTCAAGAATGATTTAATAAAAATCAATGTGAACTTCTTTGATGACTTATAATCTAGATAAGCATTAAATAAATATTTGTTTATTACTACTTATAATAATTATAGTATAATGAAATGCTTCCTTTGGGTCAGTGCTGCCCCCATTTTCAATGAGGTGTAGGAGGTGGGAGAGGCATGCGTCTACAGCCGTCTCCTGAGCGAGGAGTGGCCATGCAATGGCAGTAGACTCCTGTGCGTCACTGCAAATGGACGCCATATGGACCGACTCCTCGCTATCGGTCATGTTTCATGCGCCCATGCAACGGCCCTCATCAGAGCCAGAGGGCGAGGGATACCTGGAGGCTGCGTCAGCAGCGCAGTTGCTCTTGCCAGGCAAGTGTACAATGTCAAAGTGCCATGGGAGTGTGC